ATTATATATAAATAATTTATTTATTATTTTAATTATCACATCTTTTTAGGTAAAATAATTTTGAGAAATACACAATCTATTTTATTCTTTATTAATAAATTGCTAATTAATGTTTACTTTCTAAAAATAAGGTTTTTTTTTTAAAGATGTATATCTCCATATACGAATTACTTTTTGCAATCACTGTAGGTTTTTTATTTCTTTTTTTTAATAATAAAATATATCTTTTACTTGTGTGAAAAAAAAACGGACTATATTATAGTACGGACTATATTATAGGCTGGAGGACGATGTCGTATTTTCTTAACGACGTTTGTCGATATTGTTAGAAAAATATCGCTCGCAATAATTACAGCAAATATTCGATATCTATCTCATACTTGAAACGGATAATTTTTACAGCGATGATTCATCGACTTGCCACTATAATTATTCTGTGCGATGTTTTCTAGCAAGATATCGCGACAAATGTTGTCGAGACAATATGGAACACTGTTATTGGGAAAATCCATACACAGTCGAGAGGAATATATATAAGAATCTACCACCTCGTGTCTCCGTAAATCAGAAATCAGATTTTTTCACGTTGAAGCACAGCGATGTCTTCCAATCTTGCGTGAACTCTCTTAGCGGCTAACTTATGAAACTTGAACAGAAGTCATCAAAGAAATTTCCAACTAATATTAACATTGGGATCGCAACGGGACGTGCGAACATATGATCGCTGCGACATTATTATGTCCTTTCCATTAAATTCGCTTATAATCGAATATGGTTGTTGTTTCCTGTGGCTGGGCTTCGGACCTGTCGTCTAGCTCTAATTGAACAGACGCAATAATCTTTTGTTATAGCTTGCGTTTACTTCTAATGCTTTAAGGATGTATCACTCATTTTTACACTTTAATGCATTAATTTTTATATTTTAAATAAACTATATATATGAAAGTTATGTCTACAACATTCTATTTTTATTGAATGAATGATTTTTATAGTTTACTTATTATTATTTGTTATATAATGTTAACATTTTTTAAATAATGACAAAAATCTGAATTTTTTGTACAACTACTTTTTAAGATGATTTATACAAATTTTCATTGTAATGCAGAGATTAATCGTTTTAAATAAATAAGTAAATAAATTTTGCTTATTTACAGAACTAATCTCTTCATCGCAATAAAACTGTATAAATCATTTTGAATAGTTAAAGTATTATATTAAATAATTAATTATATTAAAAAAGTAATTATATTAAAAAATATAGATTTTTGTTATTATTTTACAATACATTTCTATACAATTCCAATGGAGCACTGATAAAGATGAAAAACAGATTACTTATTGCAACAATTTTTTTATCTATGTTCTAAATCGCTGCCAAAAAAATTTTATTTTATTACTACAATGTTTTCATAATTTTTTTATTTTTTGAATGTAATACATCCTTGAAGAAATAAAAGCATACATCGAACGAGAATTTGTGATAGTGAATATTTAATGATCAAAATCTGTGCATAGATACGAAATATGCACTTGCGAAATATGCACAATCGGAAATATCTCGAAATTAATTTAACACATATTTAGAGAAAACATGACATTTTTACCACATGGCAAAAGATGCAATATGTGCACAAGGATGCAATATAAAATTAATAGCTATTCATGCAAGGAGGGACTCACAAGTGTGTATCATTTCGTATTTTGGGCGGTACATGTGATATTTTCTACATTAATACTTTTTCTTTATGGATCGAGTCACAAATAACTCTTGTTAGCCTAGACTATGACCGATATTTGTCGCTTCTTATTTTAAGCATCTTAAGTAACGTCTTAAGATGCTAGTACGATTCTGTATCTCGGTTTATGACATCTTAAGACTATTTAAGACAATCTTAAAATATAATTGACTATAAACTTTGGCCTATGACACAATATGGCAGTAAATAAAAAAAGCATCCTTTTACGACAGTTTACGATGTATGCGATGTATACGCTTCAAAACTGTGTTTAAATCACATCACACTTTTATTTTACAGAGCCAAATAAATTCTTAATGTAACTGCACATGCCCTGACGCTTAGCGTCTATATATACAATATATGTACTCGCACATATTATCACTAAATTTAAGAATTACCTATCTTATTACCACAGTATATGTATATTCTTAATTTTTTAAATTTTAATTATTTCAGATGTGACTGTGCGAAACATTCCGATACTAATCACAATCGATCTGAGACGCTAATAATACAAATGATAAGGCGCCGAAATATTCGGACATTCCTATCTACGAAATAATTATTAGTATCTCAGATCGATTGTGGTTAATGAATCCGAACGATTCAGCACACAGTCATATCTGAGATAATTAAAATTTAAAAATTAAAAAATTAAAAAAAAAAAAATATATATATATATATATTTATTGTTTTAATAATGTCTTTTGACCGATTATTGGCATTCTCGTACATATGTGTATCATTTACATAGTCGTGTTATTAGCACAGTTTTTTACAATTTCAATTTTTGTACTTTGATGAATATTTCTCTACTCGCGCGTGAAAAATGTAGCTAATTATATAAAATTTGTCATTTGTGTATTTTACAATTAACGGCTCATTCGTTTTTTTTTTAATGAATTTCTAGTCGAATTTCGCGTAATTATTGTCTACTAGTAAGCAAGCTTTGTGTAAAATGTGCTATCGTATCTATTATATCTCCAATGGACCGACACGAATTGTGGTTGTGAGAATTATGCGAGACTATGTACGCGCGCGTATATTATCTGTATATACATTTTAAGCTAAGTACTTCGTGTTCTAATTTATACAAATATGCACAAATTCGAACACATTGAGAGAAATGTGTCTATTGCACTTTGCATCGAAATTTCACGTGCACATAATATAAATATGGAGAATTACTGTACATATTTATCGCGGGAAATAAATATATACGTAAATAAGTCTTTAATTTTAAAAAAATTATTGAATTTGATAAAAAAAAGAGCAATTTAAACAAGATTTAAATATAACTCCCAATAAATAATGACATATTTATTTTTGAACATACTCAAACATGGCACAACAGGGTTTAGGAAATACACAAATGATTAAAACTATGCCATTGTCATTAATTACTCGTACACTTAATTTTAACAATTGTCTAAGAAGCATAAG